GAAAGAAGATCCGGACGTGTGTGTAATTGTGTAATTGGGAGCGTGTGATACAGCGATACATAGCTCCCCTACTGTAAACGTGTAGACTACTGAAGACAGAGTGAACTGATTTGCGCATAGGGTTATAAATCGTGAAACCCCGCAACAGTGTTAACAGATTAATGCGATTAGGGTTATAAAGTGTGAAACCCCGCAACTGTGTGATAATTAATTGTAGCCGTTATTTGTAGATTGTTAAATAAACCAATTAACCATCTCTACGGCGTCTTCAGTAACGAGGAAACACGTTACAATATTTTTGCTCATCAAGGAGTACTGACAAGAACAGTAGTTTAAAGAAATTCTTTCAATTATTAATCATTCAGTGTGCTTTATATCTCGTTTATTTACATTACTTATCATAGTACCTTTCCATCTAAACAAAAGTGTCCCGTGAGATCTCTTCTGATACAGTTTTCAATTCAGATTCTGGCATGAATTCCTTGTTACAGTTCATAAGTGTTTCCTATATACATTTATGTGGCATTTATGCAGTAGCCCTTTCATTTTCTATTCATAGTTCGAATTAGTAATTATAATTAAAGGCTAATTAGAAATACTCCAATGAAGATGGTCACCAAATGTTATGTTCCATTATTATTTGTTTTTTATATAAGTTATAAAATAAACTAACTCTTCTGATGTCTCTTGACCCCTTTTTTATAATGGTAATTAGAAATAATACTTACAATTAGACTCTAATTAGATGGAAGCCAGGTTAGTATAGTCAGTATAGTGACTGGATAGGGGCTCAGTGACTGATGGGGTCAGAGTTCAAGTCCCGGTAGGATCCAGAATTTTCTCTCCTCTACATTGACTAGACCGGCGCTGCGGCCCACCCAGCATCCAATTGAGTGGGTACTGGTGGTAAAGGGGCTGGGGCCTGAAGCTAACCACTCACTTCCAATATACCTTCATGGCGTAGTGCTTAATTAGCTAAGCATAGGGACAACTTTACATTTTTACCTTTCCACAAAGCTATACTCAATGCAATGTTGGAAGCTGAAACAAACACACCTCGCCTCAAAGTAACAGCACTATCAAACAGTGTGACACATTTTCATGTATGTGTTCAGTAAAGTTATCTCTGTTCCACATTTTCACTTCATAAATTTGAGATTTAATAGAACCCCATAGTGTTATGGTTTGAGGAGCAGCCAATGCAAAGCTCTGTACATTATATTTGATGTCCCCAAGCCCCTGGACTTCATGGACATTCTGGATTTTCTTGGTGAATATAAGGCACTAACAGATTATTATTTACTCATGGGCCAGTTATAATAACTACCTTCAAAACAGTAACAGCAGGGATGTGTCAGAGGCTTCTTTGTAATGGATTGCAGTTTTTTTGTAACACATTCTGTCCCAGTTTTATCCCACTTTTACATTCATTTGTGAAGTAATGTCATTGCAATTGACACTTTTCACAACAAATGACATTGCTGTGTTGATTTCATTTTGAATATTTCTTTCCACAGTTAACAAAAGCAAAATATTATACACAAATCTTTATACAAAGTGGTTTGCACTCTTGCAATTACACAATGTAGATAAGCATAACCACCTTAGATTAGGGTAAAAGAACAGAACTGTTACTTCTGTTCTGAATCAAACACGGGGAGCATCTTATACTTGTAAATACAGGAAAATTTGAGAGAAGCTACATGAATCAACTGCTTTTGCAAAAATAATGTAGTAAAACTGTCCAACCTTGAAACCGACATGATGTAAATTATACATACTTTCACTGCCATACTGCTGTCAATGTAACTGTGGGATGTCGATGTATGAAGAGACAACCACTTATTAAAATTTTGAACAATTATAGCTAGGATAGTGCAGTCGGTATAGCGACTAGCTACTCTCTGGATGACCAAATGGTCGGAGTTTGAGTCCTGTTGGGGTCAAGATTTTTCACTTTTCCATTCATCCCGACCAGTTCAGGAGTTCGCCCAACCTCCTATCCAACGGGTTCTGGGGACTCTATCCCCGGGGGTAAAGTGCCCGGGGCATGAAGCTGACTGTTCACCTCTAAATAGTGCCGAGGTCAAGAAAACTTGGGTCCATACATCCACGCCCGTATACGCCTTCATGGTGTAGTGCCAACATAGTTAAATACAGGGACAGCTTTATTTTTCCTTTACAATTATTTATTGTCTTTATACTGAATATACAGATAAACTTCAGACTGAAGATTTGAAGGCTACAAGTTGCTGGTAGGCTGACAACAGTAGCTGTAGGCAGACTGATATGATCCTGGTTGGGCTCTCCCTTAAGTAGTTTTATTCCAAGCATCTAGTGCACATCTGAGTGTACCGTTTTGTTACTGCACTGTCTTGATTTGTTTCTCTGGATACCTTCATTACTGAGTCGTTGCATAGCAGTGATAATTTTGTTGTCACTACAGTGCTTGCTTTCTATGTTGGTGGTTTCCTCCTGATAACTGCATTGTCGCTGTAACATTTGCTTGAATGCAGGTGGTTTCCACATAACCAGTTCTATGTGTTTTTAGTGATACCTATGTTTGTTATAATGTAACATCCCTATGTCCAAAACCGTTACTACTCCTGAACCAACGATAATTATCCTGGAAGGAAAAATAATTTTTGAAACTATTCTATAAATGATATGCAAGTTTCTACATATACCAGTTCCTAGATGTCCTTCATGGTAATTCTGAGAAGTGATTTATCCCTCTAAAGCACAGTGGTAACTTTATGTACCACATGCATTATTAACATTAAAAACTCTGCATGCATTTTTCCCACAGCGTTCATAAACTGTACTTGCCCCTTATTTCTTGCTAGTATCATGCTTGAATTACCCTTTGACCCTGAAGATGAAGGCCAGGGGCCGCACCATAACTCTAGCGGTTAGTCGCTGGCTTCCCACCGCGGCGGCCCGGATTCGATCCCGGGTCTGGTCAAGTGGGATTTGTGGTGGACAAAGTGGCGCTGGGGCAAGTTTTCTCCGAGTACTTCAGTTTCCCCTGCCAATCTTCATTCCACCAATTGTTCCACAATCACCCTCACCTATCATCTGGGGCTGGTACAATAGGCCAGAAGTGGCCACAGTATAAGGGACTTAGTTCTGCCCCACTAGCAAAAAAAAAAGATGAAGGCCATATGTTCTTAAGAACCGTTAGTTTTTATTACTAGACTACATGAAGTACATACATACAATATGTCAGTACTCTCCTATACCCTCTGTTTGCCACCTTAGTCTTGATTGTTTGGCTTATGTTTTACCCACTGAAACGTTGGTAGATTTCTGTCATACTACACAGCGTTCCATCCCAGAGGATATTACTCTTCATATGCCAGAAGAAAGTAGCCATAAACTTTTATTTTACCTTTTATGTGACCACTTACCTCCATCTAGTGCTCAAATCAAGAGTGCTGGAGCTGGACCTCCACTCTCCCATAAATATTAATGGCATAGTGCTTAATTAAGCACAGGGGCTTTGCCTTTCTTTTGTTTTTCCTACTGAGAATCCAGGGTAATACTGAGGAGACCAGCTCATGATCTTATAGGCTCTTGAAGGTTGAATGGCTGGCTATAAGGAAGAGAAATTGCTCTTGTACCCAGTTCGACTACACATTATGTCTATAGTATCTCTGATTTTATTACCTCAGAAACAGACACTTGTATCTAAACAAATGGATGTGATACATTGGATGTTATGATAGGGCTTGATCAATGAATGCATGGATGAATGGATATCAACATTTTTAAAAGCTCCAAAACCAGCAATATGTGTTATTATAATTTATCCTGTTTTACATTCTTCACATAATACAAATTAAAACATATGATATCCAAAGTCAGTGGAAGTTCAAAGTTTAACCTGTCCTCGTGAAGCTACCTTCTCTGTTTAATTCCATTTGTAAGACAAGCTCCAATCTTATGGCTCTCCCCGTTACTGATAGTCCTTTCTACACTCACTGAATTGCTGTTTGATACAATATTTCCATTTCTTCTTAATGTTATCTCTGCTGAACCACTGGAGAATCCATTGGCTTCAGATTTCATTTTTGTCACACCATCCTCATTTGAAGATTGCTGATTAGTAATATGGCTGACAATCAGTCTGATCATGACGCTGTTTAGTTTAATGAACAACTTTGCACAGATGTAACCAGCTATCAAGCAGAACAAGGCAACATCTATCAGATAATACTGCACAAAACAGTACTCTTTGGCTGGAGATTGTAGATGGTATGCACCTTTGTGTCTTAGCACGTATTCTGTCCAGTAGATGGCACGATTTAGTGGATGTTCTGGTTGATCACGCAGCAGCTTTGAGCGCTTCCTCACCTCATCTCGGTACCTGTAATTGAAATATGACAAAATCCATGAACTTATAACGTATATGCACCAAAAAGAAACCACTTCCAAGCTCTTTGAAGTTGTTGCTAAAGGTTTGGACCTATTAAAGCCTTAAAAAAAGAAGGACCAATGTTATATGAATCATTGGAATAATGTGCCATGTGCTTCACCACTACTGAATCTGAACTTGACAGAGGTGCTACTGGAAACAGGTACTGCTAAATCCCCTCCTTCTCTATGTGTTCGTGGAATTATTTCTGAATACCCATTTATATAACTTTTGAAAAATCATATTTAAAGGAAATTATTGCCAAGTCCCTTAAGCTATTCTTGATAATACAATGCATATGATCTTGTATTTGGAGTACAATTATTTTGATTTTGTGACTGTGTACCCTCATTTATCTTGATAATTATTATTGCCCACACAAATCGACTGTCTACTTGGCTCTGTAAAATCCATATAGTTGAGGTATTGCCATTAAATAAATTATGAAGGCAGGAAAATTTTAATTGATAGATTTGCTCAACATTTGAAAGGCTGTGCCTTATGTCAGTTACAGTACAATTAAATTCTGTTGTTGACAAAGTTAGTCAACAGTGCAAAGTGAACAGCATAAGATTAATTTACTATTTAATACACAGCATTTGAAATAAAAGTCACAGATGACCCCACCATTATCTTGGGTCCGTTTTTTCGGCTCTCTGCGCTGCCCAACATCTAGATGTTGTTCTCCATATCTGTCCTTCCCTGCTCCAACAGTTTACACTTCGGACTCTTCATTAGGGACTTCCTGATGCTCCGCTGAGGCCTCTATTTCTTCTGGGGTTGACACCTTCCTCTCCAGGTAGGCCTCCATCTGTTCTAGACAGTCATCCATTGCATCTTGCCAAACCGTTGTCTCTTTTTCGCCAGGCATCCATCTTACCTTGATTCATTCTTGATTATCTTTTCTTGCATGGTCTGTTCTGGCTTGGCAAATATCTGTCTGGGAGTAGAGAGTACCTAAAAGTGCCTCAAACTTCTTGTTATTGGCTTCTATCTTGGCTTCCATATTTTCTTGGTTATTCTGTATCATGGCTTCCACTGTCTGCATTTCTCAGCAGGCCAACAGGCGTTCCAGTATTTGTTCCATCTTGTCTCAGTTCGACTGAATCAGTCCTATCTAATTCAATTAATCTGGTCAATCCAATCCCACTTCTGACACCAGCTGCCACGATTTTATGGGACTATACTTTCGGCTTGGATTTGTAATTGGAGTTACTGAACACCTACTGTAGGCTGATCATAGTAGCCGCGAAGTCTGAGGCATGAAATGTCTTCGCCCGCTCGGACACTAGGACTGTGGGTTCGAATACCACGCAAAGCATGGATGTTTGTTTGTGTTAGATAGCAGACTTGCGACGGTCTGATCCCCGTCCAAGGAGTCCTATTGACTTATGTTAAGAAACTGGAATGAAACGAATTGTTTCATGGGTGCCCTATGCTCCAAGCGGGAGCAACAGAAATAGAAGAAGAAGAAGACTTGTAGAACATAACTACAAATAAGTAGCGCTAACGCTAATTCACACTATATACTACGGTTCACTACAGCATACACTAAGTTCTCTCCGACTACTGTATCTTCACGGTTATCGCCTGGTAACGACTTCTAACGCCGCAGGTTCCTCAGCTTCCGTGTTCACAGCCCTTTATGACTGTCGACTGTCTCAGAACTAATTAAACTCTAGATGTGTCTTGCTTATAACACCTCTTCCAACAGTTCTATTGTTGTGTCACGTAGCCGTTGCACGGACCGCATTGAGAACTTTGCTTTCAAGTTACTTCATTGGTGCATGATACAAATTTATTGCTGCCATTACTTAGCAACTGTCACTGTTCACAGAGTCATTACTTTAGCAACGGGTCTACATGCTACAAAATTTTAGCATGGTCAAGTTTAGGAGCATGAGATATGTGAAACAGTTTTAGCATGGGAAACTGAAATGACTGAACACTGTTTCAAGAGGTTGACTGATGATTTCTGTGGTGTTACATGTGTATGAAAAGACAACAGACGTGTTCTAGTGTTCAGGTGATGTGTTCATAAGAGTATTATTGTTCTCACCTTGAATCATGGATGACCTGATTGATGGCCCACACCAGTTTGTCTGCAGTGAGCTCCTGGAGTTCCAGTTTCAATGCGTAGCCATCTATCACTGCCTTGGCTGAATTAGCGTCGTGGTCACAGAACACAGGCATGGTGACAACTGGGACTGCGTGGTACACTGTCTCAAACATGCTGAGGAGACCACCGTGAGTCACGAAGGCTCTGATCTTATGATGACCTGCAGTGAACATTGCACACAACGTGATATTCAGTGTTTCTAAATAAGTATCCTCTGTAAAGCTGTCCTGCGCTACAAAATCAACAACTTCGGTATCTTGCATTAAGTGGAGCATGGCCACCAGAGGGTTTGAGGCTGTGGCACAGACAATTACCACCAGCACAGACTTCCTTACTGAGAATCTTTATATTTTGCTAACTTCATGACGCTGAGCCCTTCTTGAGAAGCCACCAGTTGTGCAGCTACTCAGTAATTTCCCAATATTTTAAGGTTCATTACCGTGTTTACAATAGCCTCCTTACTTACTTACTCATGGAGCTGAGCCCTTCTGGAGGAGCCACCAATTCTGCAGCTACTCAAGAATTTCCCAGCATTTTATGGAACCCAAAGGTTCATTACTGTGTTCACAAGAGCCCTCCACTGGTCCCTATCCTGAGCCAGATCTATCCAATCCATACCACCCCATCCTATCTCTCTAAGATCCATTCTAATATTGTCCACCCACCTACTCCTTGGTGTCCCTGTGGTCTCTTTCCTTATGGCTTTCCCACCAATATCCTATACACATTCCTCGTCTCCCCCATTCGTGCTACATGACCTGCCCACCTCACCCTCCTTGACTTGATCATTCTAATTATACTTCGAGAAGAGTACAAGTTATGAAGCTCCTCATTATGAAGTTTTCTCCAACCTCCTGTCACTTCATCTCTCTTCGGTCCAAATATTCTCCTCAACACCCCGTTCTCAAACACCCTCAGTCTTTACAATAGCCCCCTGTTGGTCCTTATCCTGAGCCTGATCAGTCCAGTCCGTATCACCCCGTACTATCTTTCTAAGATCCATGTTAATTAATATCATCCACCCACCTACGACTTGGTATTCCTAGTGGTCTCTTCCCTTCTGGCTTTCCCACCAATATCCTATATGCATTCATCTTCTCCCTCATTTAATCCTACATGCCCTGCCCATCTTGTCCTCCTTGACTTTATCATTCTAATTATACTTGGCGAAGAGTATAAGTTATGAAACTCCTCATTATGCAGTTTTCTCCAACCTCCTGTCATTTCATCTCTCTTTGGTCCAAATATTCTCCTCAACACCTTGTTCTCAAACACCATCAGCCTATGTTCCTCCCTTAATATCATAGACCGAGGTTCACACTCATAAAGAACCACAGACAAAATTATAGTTTTGTATATTCTAATTTTTATGTTTTTGGACAACAGAGGAGAAGACAAAAGGTTCTGGATTGAATGGTAGCAACCGTTACCCGAATTCAATCGCCTTTTAATTTTCTCCTGAATCAGTTATTTGAATTATTACTGTCGTTCCAAAATATGTGAACTGTGTCACATTTTCAAAGCATTTTTATCTCTCTTTATATCATGATTTTGCCCTGCATTGTGGTGAAGTGCCAGCAACATATACTTAATTTACATTGCGTTTACTGCTAGACTAGTTTTACTGCATACTGAAAAGCTTTGCCTAACTTCGACGTTACAGACACGAACCTTCACAGAATCAATGCAGTTTAACTACGACATTGGACTTTATGAACCAAACAGGCGTGGGACGGAAGTACACGCATGTCCCATTTTACGAACTCTTGATTTTCGAACTTTCGCCACAACGAAGCGTGTTAACTTGTACCTATTTTTCACTTAACGACCTTCATTTTCCCTAAACCCAACAGCTTATGTTTGCAGAAAGTTTTCTTTTTTCTCTCTCTCTTTGTAAGGCGGCAAAATACACACACAAAGACGTGGGGAGGTAGAAACATGCAAGAAATGTTAGATACAGATGTACATTGCAGTTATTGAAACTGCTGTGCAGCCGTGCAGCCTCCAGTGCCCACTTCACAACTTCTATGGTCGGCAGACCTACGAGTAAGTAAAGGTCACTACTCGTATTAAGAGTTCTATCTGCTGATATACGTTTATAACGCCGTGTAGTCCGTTAAAAGTCAACCAACGTTTCGGAGGAACATGTCGCCTCCATCTTCAGGTTCAAAGAATAAATCAAGGAAGAAATCAACTTGAAATAAGGTGGCAGTCAGAGCTCTGCTTGCTATTAAAACTTATGTTAAAAATATGGGGGTTGTTTCTGGGACTCGTGAACGAGTCAGCGACTTTTATATGTAAAGTAAAGAGAATATTTTCGATTTACGAATTTTCACCTTAGGAATAGTTTACATGGAACGAATTACCATTGTAAGTCATGCTTCTCTGTGTGGTTTGCTTTACGATGCTCTCAGTACCTATGCAGAATCGAATGGGAAGGTGGTAAGTGAACACTGAATTGGAGCGGATTTAGAAGGAAGTGGTCGTCACCTAATATGGATATTAATCCTAAATGTTCATGGAAGAAATGAAGAAACCCACAGAAAACCTCCGGGAAGATAGCCGATACCCTGGTGGAATTCAAACCGCGTACCTCACGTAAAATAATATAAAGCGTTACCATTATACCAGCTTGCTCGTGGAGGTGTGGAGATTCAGAATATGTCGTGTAACATATCAACAACAAATTAACAAACTGTGCATTCTAAAGTTTCGAAATAAACTGCGAAAATGGACCTTGAATTAAATGAATGCGTTGCGGGTTTTTCAGTTATATTAGCGACGGGCTAATATTAAGGAAATTAATTTAGCTTCTATATTTGTAAAAGCCCACCACAGTGACCGCGCAGTCTGAGGCATGAACTGTCTTGGCCCCCTCGAACACTGGGGTCATGGGTTTAAATCCCACTCGAGGAATGGATCACTGCGTTTATTTTCTTTGTGCTGCTCCGTGTGTAGGTAGAGGGCTTGCGACGAGCTGATCCCCTTCCAAGGTGTCCTACTGATTGAGCATAGGATTACTAAACTGGAAAAAGCAGACAGGGCCCACCAAAGGGCTGTAAAGCCATTGATGAATGAATGCTTCTGCGAGTGGCCTAATGAAGGAGACACTGTAGATCAAAGGACGCTAGATTGAATGATTGAAACATGCACTTAGCGGTTTACAGCCATAGAGGGAAATCAATTAGTGCAAATGGCACTGATGAGTACGTAACGCTATGAACTACGCATTATCTATGCTCTCCCGCAAGCCGCAGAAGACATCATCGTTCTGATACTGGCAGTGCAGACTGGTCACTGACCCAGGATATCCTGCTGCGGCAACCAGCGACCAAGGCGCACGTTATCCGGAAGATCAGCAATGCTGCCCTCTCCGGCCTCCCACTTCCAGAGCACGCGGTACGGCAGTTGTTCGAACGCTCTGATGAACATATGGCGCAGCATGTCGGGCATCTTGGCAGTCAGCACGGATGAGCCCATGCTGACGTAGATAAAGCCCATGTCTGCACCGGACACGAACTGCTCCAGGTCCTCGGAAACAAGTGAAACACACATGTCTCAATAATAATGGAAGCCGGCACTGTTACTTATTTGTTTCATTATTATTATATTATATAATATTGTATATTAAATGTGAATTTTAACATCATATCATATTGTGAGATGTAGACCCGTTACTAGGCAACGACCGCGACGTAAGAGACCATACAACAGCCGTTGCCAGGTAATGGCTCTGCAAACAGCGGCTGTTGCTAGGCAATGGCTCAGTAGTCATCACGCTGTCATCCCAACAGACACGAGCGGAACAATTGCACCGTAACAGAGGAAGGGTTCGTCTGTGCGGTCCGTGCTGAAGTTTTATAAGCAGGACAAGTTAGGAGGGGAATGAGTCATATTGGGGAGTTGGTTAGAGGGCAGTCAGTTAGAGGACCGCTGCAGTTCAATCGTTATGACCTGTTCCTGTGAGAAGCTGGTAGCTGAGGTCGGGGATAGGTCGGGAACCCAGAATAAAAGCAACGTCTCCCGTTGCGAGCCACTATCAAGCAACGGTTAGTAAAAACCGTGACTGAGAACACTACTTTATGTGTGATATTGATTTGTGAAGTGTAGTAGCGAGTTGCTTAAGAGTGGAATAAGTTCGATTACCAGCCCAAACCCCGTCTATAGTCACACTTATCACGTGGCAATATATACATATTATATAACATGAATACAGCGAAACAGTAATTGTAGATATTGAAATTAGGGAGGTGAATGTAAAAATTAGATCATAGTCGCTTCTTGACTTATCAGCCATAAAGGCGTATGGTAGGAGTCGTCGTCACCAGTGACTGTAGAAGATCCTTCGATAAGTACTGACCTGCTCAAGTCCGAAACTGTGAAAGAATTCGTATCTCCATTTACCTTCGGCAGAGGTTTCGCTGGCCTGCAATGAATACAGGCGATTTCTGCGACGTTAGGCAGGTACGGTCTGGGATATGTCACAGTTGCATGGCCGTTCTGAAGGATAAAGCTCACGTTTTTGACCATGTCAAAGACATGTGGCATTAATGGGCCAAAATAGTCCTTCATCAAGTACTCCAAACACCATCTTATGAACACCGTATGCACGACTTCTATTCCTGTAAGGTATATGGCATTCAAGACTCGATCCGGAAACACCATGTTGTCGCTGAAGGGTCTAGCGAAGAATGGCGTCACTGAGAAGGGAACTGGTCCTCCTCCATGTGCCACAGACCCCATGTAAAAAGCTACAGTGTTGATGTACATGAAGGGGGCACGGAAGTGAAATGCGAGGCCGACTGCACACTCCGGATAAGCACCGTCCAATATGACAAGATCATAGGAGCGCCCAGAGTTCATCAAGACGTGTGTTTCCGGGTCTGAGAGTACTGCATCACACGACTGGAAGCAGAACGTAAACCCCCATTAAGAATACACTTTGACTGAAACATGACAGAACAATCAGTCTGCCGCCAAGGCACACTGCATCGGAGAAAACTCTGGTACGAACGTTCATAAGATTGCAGGATCACATAGAAACTAGGTACAGTTAAGTCACATACTTAATGCTGCTAGTGAGCCACGGTTTTCAAAGGTCTTACATTTACAGAGCGTGTTCAGTTTCAAATATTGCATTGACCTTCATATTCACGTTCATTTTAAAATGTGCCTTCACAAGCTGACCGTAGCCCACCACTTAAAAAATCCTCCCACTTTATGCAAGGTAAAGGTAAAGCTATCCCTATAACAGGCCATGGAGGCCCATAGGGTTGTGAGACGTTGAGGGTCCCACATTTTCTAGACAATTGGCTCACAGATGGCGGTAAGGTTGTCAGCCTTACTCACCGGCTGCCCTTTACCCCCCTGGAAGATTCCTGGTACTCATTTCTCTTAGAGGCTGAGTCGACCTCAGGACCACATTGCGGCTGGAAGGATTAGGTCAATTGAAAAAAAAAACACCTCATGTGTTTTCATACCCTGTTCATGATGCACAGACACTTCACCAGCACATCGTGAACGCCTGTCAGACTACTCACAACTATCCCGGGAACACAGTCCGTGATAAGACGTGCCCAAGAATATATTGAGTCTCGTGGAGGATATCTTGAGCACTTCTTGATAGTGCATCCTATCAATACTGTGCCTCGAAAAGGAGGGGTCTCCGGACCTACACTTATATGACCTTCTTTTCTTGTTTTGGTACGTGCAGCTGATCCCCAGAATTTGTCCGTACATTTCAGATTCGCCCTGTATTTACTTGCAACAATTTCTTGTATAGGTCTACTTGCTTAATAACCGTCATCCTGTCAGAGCCTGACCAGAATTTGTTCTTCACAGCAATTCTGGCTGTGGGCGTGACCTATGTACTTGTACTTACGTAATATGCGTAACGGAGGACATCAGCAGGAGGGACGGGTTCGCTGCCGCTCATCCGAACTCCCAGCAGGTCCCAGTCGGTGTAGTTGCGAACATAGAACACGAGGTTCATCGGGGTGACCTCCTCCAGCCCCACTACCTCAGCGTCTGGAGGAAACGCGTTTATAAACGTGACGTTGTGACCACGTGCTATCAGTCCACGGGCAAGCTCCAGGAATGGGATTTTATGGCTCCTCGTGCCTCCCAGTGTAACCATAAGCACCCGGGAAGTCCCTCCATACTGACAAGAGGCGAGAAGTGCAACCACGGCGTAGCCCCATACAAGTGGACTGTGGTTTGTGCGCATCTCTCTGGAAACAGTGGAAAAGTCAACATGCTGGCCTTACTGGCCCCTGTATCATCCCTTCTGAAACAAATGATAGCTTTTCAGAACTTGGAACGGCCATGCCAATACAGTTTACCCCCCTCTGCACTTTCGATTTCCTGCCCTCAATAATATTAACCTTTCAATTTCCCTAATTTGTGGGGTAAAAGTGTCACCAGCGCCATTGTTAGCACATTAAAAAACTATGTAACGTTTTTTAAAGAAATTTATAATTTGGGGCAGTTGTCCAACAAATAATAAAAAGAAACAAAATAGACACTACTGCGTCAACATTTGTTTTTATTCGCTGTTGGTGGAAACGCTACATGTTTCGATCCTTTTCTTGGGTTACTTTCAGGCGTACATGAATACTATTTAGGCTCTGAATTGCGTCAATAATCAATATGCCACCAGGATTAAACTTACAGTGAATATATAACAGCTACTGACAGCGTCCCTACAAAACATATGTTGTCGTCTTCCGAAGAACTGCCAGGGCAGTGCTACGGCACCGCCATGCCCCCCCCCCTTCCCGTATTCGTCCCTGGCTCTTGGTACACTCATACCAGAAGTTTATCTCGCATTGTCTTGTGTTATGGGCAGGCAGACTGGCAGATATCTACGGTTACGTGAAGTAACTTGTCCCTACAGTTACACAGGATGCGTCCTGTATTCACCCACGTTTCATCTACGTCGTATTCTTACGTTCTTCCATGAACTTCTTAATTTTGACGACTCTTCTCAGTGCCCTCTCTTTCATCCATAATGGCTCTGCTCCCTGTCCTCTAAAAACAATGGTTATTTCATTTTGAGAAGAAGCTGGGGTCCGCATTCTTAAGAAGTCCGGCTCCTTACTTACAGAGACAGGCGATGCAGTGAACTTTCCGCCGTGCAGGGTCATTATACACGTATTTAAGTTTACTGCTGTACACCATTTACGTGTTACCATATGGCCCCAGAATTTTCAAAACTGAAGCCCTTGAAATGCGTATGTCTCGAAGAGGCTCACTGCCAGTCCAACCACACAACAGAATGTACGAAATACAAGTTAGAGACGCACGTGTGCTATATGAGAGCATTCATAGGGCATACAGTTCTCGCATAGTAGCGACAAAGGGCCACCTAGACAGTAAACAGACATTTTGTTGCCCTACCACGCGTCCTGAAGTGACGCAGTTACCATTTCACACAGATCTTCAAGAAATGTGCCTTGGGGACAAATAGACTTATCGGAGACATAGCGTAATGTGTTATTTCTGCAGATTTATTAGGATGTGGACGCCGTCATTCCTCGAGCTAGTACACAGCTCTACCGCCCCCGCCCCCCCCCGCCTCGCCTTTATGATAGTGAGACCTGCGGAAGACACCAGGCTGAACGGGTTCGTACCTGCAATGTCACGGTATCTCTACGTAAACAGCTTTATGTAGGTCGACTACGTGTCAAGCCAACGAACACCAAGGAGAAGCGAGATCTGAGGTTCTTCTGGCATACGATGACAAGTAGTCTGCTAGATAGGCATCAACGTTTCGGTAGGACCTCCATCTTCAGTGTAGAATACCCTGGTTCGGGTAGTGCGTCCTTATAGAAGAACCACTTTCTCTTCACGCTTCTACTCTGAAGATGGAGGAAGCATTTTCTTGCGACAAGTTTGTAACGATCTACAAGACTACACGGTATCACATCCCAGACGATAATAATCTTCACAGTCGCCTCCTAAGAACCTTGAATCTCGCATGATGTTTCATTATTAACCATGATATACGGCACAATAGTTATAACATGTAAACCTCGGTAGGCTGCTGATACTCACGAGGACCCTCATGACGTAATCTGGATCTCTTACAAATTCTGTGCAGAATGTTCGTTGTAACTTGGGATTTAATGAAAGTGGTATTCTTGCAGAAATTCTGAGCCGACTTGGCTTCACGCGTGTTGAACCTTCGAGTTCCACTACCAGAGGACCTAATTTTTTTTATTGCTAGTGGGGTGGGACTAAGTCCCTTGTACTGCTGCCACTTCTGGCCTACTGTACCAGCCCCAAATGATAGGTGAGGGTGATTGTGGAGCAATTGGTGGAATGAAGATTGGCAGGGGAAACCGAAGTGCTCGGAGAAAACCCGCCCCAGCGCCACTTTGTCCACCACAAATCCCACTTGACCAGACCCGGAATCGAACCCGGTCCGCCGCGGTGGGAAACCAGCGACTAACCGCTTGAGCTATGGCGCGGCCAGGACCTAATGTTACTTTAGTTTTAAGCTTCTCGTGTGAAACGAAGGAAACCCATGGTTTTCTGCGCGCTTTGCAGGCATTAACCATGCTAAAGTATAGAAATATACAGAAGCTGCGACCGTCAGATTTGGCACACTGACATCTGCCTGAATATCTTGATATCTGACAGATGTAATTGATGCATATAACAGTAAATAAATTCTGCGAATAAGTTGCCTTCTTTTACGTGCTTCAATCAAGTGTTCCTTTTTTTTTTTTTTTTGCATAATTTACTCTATGTTAAGATTTAACTATGTTTGATTTGCTCGATGGATCATGAAATTTTTGTACTGTCCCCATATTACAAATTGTTAACACAAACAAGTAGCTTCCTATAAAATTTGTACTTGAGCCTGTGCTATGTCTTGACAGAAAAAAACCCATGTTCCCATGCTTAACTCTAGTGTTTCACTGCCTATCGACATCAAATTGAAATCGATCTCATCAAAACTGAACACACAAGCCTACTTCAATAAGGTAAAGTAATCTGATGCCAGTGATTGCATTCGAATATAGGAAACTTTCACACTACGAAGTGTGTGAGGGAGCGAAAAATGTTCGAAACGAGAAGTTGGAAGCGTGGTGAAGAAATTTTTACAATAATTTGACAACCAACCAAAGTAAAACTATCCCCATAACAGTCCGTGGAGACCCACAGGGACTGAGATGTCGAGGCTCCCACATTGTCTACAATTGGCTAACAAATGGCGGTGTTTGTTTTCCTTACACTCCGGCCGTTCTTTAACCCCAGAACGATTCCTGGTACTCATTTGTCTTATACGCTGAGTCGACCCCAGGGCCATAGTGCGAATGGAAGGATATCAATTGATAACTCCAATGACCGCATCAGTAATCGAACAATCGACCTTCCGGCTTGTAGCACAGTGCCTCAACCAACTAAGCTACCGTGTGCTCCAATCCGATATATAAAATACATAAATAAATGAACATATACGAATCAGTGTGTGTAATAATTCTAAGTTGAGCCTCAAGCGGGTTATGTCAACAGAAAACTGACTATTCCCGTATTCAACAATTTGGTTATAAGACTGGTCGTTGAAAGCAAATCACGGAAAGTAGCCCTCGAGGCAATGTACTCTTAAACTGTGACCCATTGGCCCTAATATTTTGTATAAGGTAACAAGCTCCATTTGCTAAACGCAATGAAAATTTATGACACACAACTAATGTAAAGTAATTCACTGGAACTCACCGTTTTGATCGACTTCAGTTCATTTGTTTCTTCGACCAGTAATCTGTCTTCCTTTTCAACTTGGATTCCTCGCCGAATCATTCGTTGAAACCATCGGCTGCGGAGCGCGGTTCTGCTGCAACGGTAAATGAGCTGGTGTTCGAAGAGAGTGATTTCTCTCCCTAGTTCGGACACGTTTTAGAGAAACAAGTGGGAAGAGCGGAGAAAGGCCAGAGGAAGGAGAGAGTATATAATTTAGAGTCGTTGCTATGAAGTTGGAAAGTGTGATCCTTCAACTTTTGTAGCCGCACTTGTGTCGAGTGCATTGGTTGAAGCAGTAACGCTTCTGAACTTTCATTCGGGAGATGCTCGTTTCGAAACTAGGCTCAGGTTCTTCTTCAGTTTTGGGTTATATAACTTCGGTTATATGTTGGGATAAATGAATGAATGTATAAGGGGTGGGCCTTCTCGGCCCTTGCACCGCGACCTACAGTGATCTATAAGGCCACGTCATAGCTCAAGCGGTGAGTCGCTGGCTTCCCACCGCGGCGGCCCGGGTTCGATCCCGGGTCTGGTCAAGTGGGATTTGTGGTGGACAAAGTGGCGCTGGGGCAGGTTTTCTCCGAGTACTTCGGCTTCCCCTGCCAATCTTCATTCCACCAATTGCTCCACAATCACCCTCACCTATCATCCGGGGCTGGTGCAATAGGCCAGAAGTGGCCGCAGTAGAAGGAACTTAGTCCCACCCCACAAGCATTAAAAAAGAAAAATCCTTACAAAACTGATCACAGAAATTGTCATTAATGATTCCGAGTTCCTAAAGGCTACTGCTGTTTCGTTTGAAAGCGTCATCAGCAGGGCCCGGATTTTGATGACGTCATCTTTTCTCCCTTGTATCCTATGCGATGCTCTTAAATATATAAATCTCGGATATGAGCTGCTGGTTACAGAAAAGTAAATTTTATAGGTGATTATTTTGTCATTTTTTGACATTTTTAGGTTCAAGGTCATCTTTTTTTTCATTTTGGGGGTAATTTTTTGGTAAATTTTTGGACTTTTAAGAGTATTTCTTGGCATTTTTGGCCATTTTTGGGAATTTTTCTTCATATGTTTTCTGAAACGTGAATAACATGGAAGCGAAGTGTTCTTTCTTTTCTCCTTTAGATCACTTTTCTCGATTTTTTCGGTCGTCTTTTTAATATTTTCAGGACATCAAAATCCATGCCCCGCATATTATATTTTTGGGTCATATTTTAGATAATTTTTCTGGATTTTTTCGGTCATTTTATAGGTCATTTTTAAAATATTTTCAGTTCATCAAAATCCGGGCCCTGGTCATCAGCAACACCCGCATTAAGTGCTGTGCGCAGTTCATGTGTTCATACTTCGAGTTCCAGCTGAACCGGTACAAACAACTGCAGCGTTTGTCAAAGTGAACCGAACTGGTTTGTTGTTCGGGCTGCTTCATGGGGCAGACCATGTGTGACACACGATGATGATTGCATTGCGTGGCCTATTTCAAAATAATACAGTGATGTGTGCGGGTGAAAAAAAGGACAATTTTGATTGGGACATGAAGACCGCGGCGCAAGTCAGGCCGGGTAGTCCAGAGAATTAACTCGCAAGTTTGGCCTGTCATCTAATTGGCTGGGCTTAGTACACGAAACTGTGTTCAAGCAGCAACGAGTTTAATTCAGTGCCGCATGATCCGTGCGCCATATTGCAGTACTACATGTCTACAAACACTGTCAACATTTACAGATCCCGACATTCTTTTCATAAATTAATCGTATGATATAACAAAAGAATAATTTCAAATGATTTGGGAAGAAGTGATCGTGGCCCAATATACATACCATCATACAATTTTCCTGGATGGACTAAGTAAAACTACGGAACGCCTCAGTCAGGATAGTCCGCGATGATTCGAACCGAGCACTTTCCTAACAGTGGCATCGATAAACGAAGACATTAGTCGCTCTGTATGTAAGAACACCAGAACGTTCATGGAGTTGCGCTGTTTTGTGTTTTTGTTCCAACTATTCTAATTCAGATTTAGAGGGCGTTTTACCCCCGGGGAAGAGACTTCGATACCCATTGGACTGGGAGATGTGAGCGCTCCAGCGCCGGTCTGCGCACTACGAAGAGAACAATTTCTCTCACTTCTGCCTGAAATCGAATTTCGAGTCGTCTAGTGCGTAAGCTAGTCATTATACTGAGTCACTTATACGCCCTACTAATATATTTCTGGGTATACTCACATGGGCGCCGGCAGGGGAGGAGGTAAATCCTGGCCGTGTCCATGTGTGCTCACTAAACATTCGCCGGCGAAGAACGGATGTTTAATGACACTTAGAGGAACCCGTAAAACAGATATTTCATTCCCTGTACAATGTTGACAGACCTGACTAGTGTGGGAACATTACCTGTCACTTAGCGCTCGATTTATAATGGACAAACGAAATAAATCGCATTTGCCAGTTATGTTACTCTGATGTCTAAGTACATATTATGACAAAAGCTCTGTACACAACCTAGCACTGGCAAACAGGTGTGTCGCGTGAAACGTGCTGGCTGAGTATTGCGATACTCCAAGAATCTGAATGCAGATAGGCCGCACGTCAGATCTGGGCGTGGATGGAAGGATAATATTAAGATGAATCTTACGGAAGTGGGATAGGGGTGTTTACTGGGTCCACTGGCGAGCCCTTGTGAATATTGTAATGAAATTTTGGGTTCAATGAAAGGCAGGAACCGAATACAGTGATCTCGCGGTAACATTTTATACTTGTATTTTCGGGGTGTTCGCTTCGAATCTCAGTCTGCATGCCAGTTATTCTCACGGAACATTTTCATGTCTCTCCTCAGTCACTCAGGAGACATAACGGGACACTACATCGCAGCAGGCCGCCTTATTCCAGTTCGTTATCCCATCATTCAATGCAATGCCGTGTAGCTACTGGCAGCATCGTGCTGTTGCCCAGCAGCGCAACTAGCGGATATTCAGAAAGCATCCTCTTCCACGAATTTAGGAACAGCTGAAGCACAGGGATACGGTCGCCGACCAAACTGTGAAGCACCACGCCCAGCCTTCACGCAAGAACAAACATAATCTTTATGGCCACTTTTGTTTTCCCTGGTATGTCACAAATACGCAATATTCAAGGAGGGAGACACGGAATTTTCCTGTGACTAAGCACCACGATAGACTGCCTGGATCATCTCTGAAGGAAAGACTGCAATATTTGCTCCGGGTATCGAACCTTGCCGTTTGGTACACTTCCGTGTATGAGCTGAATCACGCATGTTTACTCAGATATACAATAGTCTGCTAGGATAACAGTCTGCCTGCTGACTGGCAACGGTACAGGTATAGGGCGGTCGGAGAGTGAAGCTGACCGCTCCATTTAGTTCCAGGATTGACAGTGCTTGGAGCTTTATATCCAGGGTGTAATGCTTAAGCGCAGCAACATCTTTAACCTAGAGTACGTTCTTCTGTGTTGTAACACCGTGTAGTCTGGGTAGAAACCGACATTTCGCAGAAGTGTATCTCCTCGGTCGAAGAATAACCAAGAAAGAAACCTGTATAAACGCGATAAGCTGAGCTCACATTACCGCCCGTTTTGACCATATAAATGGAAGCGAGTTTCCTCCGAAACGTCGCAGTCTCTCCGAGCTAGAACCAAGAAGACCGTAGTCGGCGCCACAATATCATTACCATATTTACTGAAGTGCAAACAAACATCTGTTTAGGAAGTGATGTTCCAAAAGGATGAATCAGTAAGAGAAAGCTCGTGGGACGGTGAAAGGGATACAAAACTATTTCTGCAGGCAGCCTATCGGAGCCCCGTACGTCGCGGTACAGCGGGCAGCACGTCTCCGGCATTGTATCGGCGAGGAGGTCACGGCACTGGTCTGGGATCACAGACCGGTTATTCTGACTCAAATGTTTCTGAACCCCTCCAGGCAAATTCTATGGTAGGTCATGAACAAGTTTTCCCACACCCTTACTCGTTCGTTATCACTATTTGGCGCTATATAGGCCGATACTGATCTACTGACATCGTCGTTAAGTAAACTGTAAATAAATAGCTAATTCCACTGTGCACAGACCTTGAAAAACTCGTGGTCCCTCAGCTATTCAAGAAAGTCCCCACCTTTCATGGAATCTGAATGTTCATTACCGTGTTCACAAGAGCCCACTACTGGACTCTGCCTAGAAGAAGTCTACGACCTCTTCCTTACAATTCGTATTAAGAATATAAAAATTAAATTAAACACAGAATGACTATTTTATGAAGTAAATGTAAGCTCAATAACTACAACAAGGAATTCCGAACAAAAGTCATAAAGAATGCTTTCCTATTGTACAAATTTAGAGTGCCACATATGTATCATAATCATCATCATCACCATCATCACCATCAGCACCATCAGTATCGTTAATTTATTTTTCTGAAGAGCTTAGTACAAAACCACTCCCTCATCCGGCTTCATGGCTTTGTGCTTTATTAGTTAAGCACAGGAACAACTTTACCTTTTAGAACAAAACAAATATGTATACGCTGAATTTGTCGAACAAGCTTATAAGCTAAATGTTTCGCACCGTTGCCATGTTTATAAATACTGTCTTACAAACTGAAATTCTGGTGTAAGGGGTAGGTGTGTATATGACCTATACCTGTGCACAATTTCGTGTGCCAAGCTGCAATTGTCAGTAGTCACTGCCATCAAACCGAAATCTGACGATATTTTCGCACTTCTACAATGCCGTCACCTTAATAACAGTTGTATGTTTCTTGACAATTATCGCACATCGTTCCGGAGCTATAAATTAAAAGTTGCTCCCACGTCATAAGTTCGCACTTCTGCCAAGTTGTTACTGATGACCGTGGAACTATAGAGTAGAATACAGAGGAGTTCTCCAAACGTACAATTCCTCTACTAGGTTTCATGCAAATCTGTCAACCAGTTCAAAAACAGAAATGGAGGGACACACAGGCACCATGTTGATCCCACTTGTACGCAGCGCTGACACGATCTGCAGAGTGCCTCTGAATAAAAGCAGAACTGAAGAATGAAAATGAGCTGTTCTAACTGCGTGACTAACCTGGTATGGAAAAGAAGGAACTGCTTACAAGCTGCTAGTTCTTTCAAGCACGAGAAAATGTGTGCCCATAGCCAACGACGCTAGTATTCCGTTACGGGACATTTGTAAAACACTTGCACAATCCACCCAGCTCGTGTGATACATCTCATGTTACAGAACCTCTCGAAACTGCAAAAATTCCAGATCATTTACGCTGCACAAACAGTCTTCTTCCTCAAATGCTGTTCTAACTGTTCAATAGGCCAAGGTGATCACATGTGCTCAGCGAATTGAAGAAGTGTTCACTTGTGACAGAAAAGGAATGTCCTCCATTGTTCCACGGATCCGTGGGCTGCATGTTGATTTACTTCTATTGAGACAGTAATTATCTGCTGTCAAGATGCTAACGTGCGTCCATGAGTGATCAGAAGTAATTCCATACGTTTCACCATTTCAATTGTTTGTATGCAGTGTAGACGGCAGCAACCTGTTTCTCGTTGAACAAAAATGTACGAGAATTCCTTCTTTTGGGTATCGTTCGCAAACAGAAACGCAATTATGGTGGGGGTTTACATACGTGTACACCTGGGGGTACGCGGTAGCATAGTTGATTCAGGTAATATGCTACAAGCCGAAAGGTTGCGGGATCGAATCCAGATGACAAAATTTGATTTTTTTTTTTCCATTGACTTAAACCTTCCAGCCGCACTATGGCCTTGGGGTCGACTCAGCCTCTAACAGAAATGAGTACCAGGAATCTTCTTGTGGGATAAAGGGCGGCCAACGCATAAGGCTGACAACCTTACCACCATCTGTGAGCCGATTATCTAGAAAATGTGGGAGCCTTAACGTCTCACAACCATATGGGCCTTCACGGCCTATGTGGGGAATAGCTTTTCCTTTTCATACATACACCTTGCCGTTCTCTGCAGGATGGCGAAGTGGATTGCCCGAGTGGACTGAGAAAAAATTGTGGAGCCTGCGTGCGGTACAACAGGGAGTTATCCTCCACGATGCTATTGCAAACAGTACCGCGCTACTCCTTGACATACGTATGTCTCTTCATACCCAAAGCGAGGGACAGTACTTAAAACGTGAATAGACAAAACGAATCCACTTTTATAACAGAATTTGAAAGAACGGGATTCCTACAACCGATACATTTTCTACCAGTCAAGATATAACGACATATTCATTTTACAAGAAGGCACTCTGTATTTACTTTCCTCATACGACAAACCATCACACAAACTTAGACTATAAAAATACCTTCTTATGTTTCTTATTTCTTATATACACAACATGTTTAGGCCTAAACGGCCATCATGATGTCGAAACATGTAGTGCATAGAAGATATAATATAATAGATATAACATAATATTATTGAACATCATTGATAATTCTGAGAAAAATATTAGCTTATTTTGAATATTACGCTGAAAATTTGCGAAAACGACGACAAATTTTAAAGATTTTGACAATTTTGAAAACAAAAAATCAAATTCTTTGAGAAGTCTAGACATTTTTAAAAATTATTGAAAATTCTGAAAAGTTCGTGGTACATTTTAAATAATACTTGAGTATGGTATTACATGTCTGATTGTGTTCTTATTTTATGTGAACATACAACAGGGGACGCCTGGTAAATTACACGTAGGCTAGCATGGTGGAGAGTAGAAAACATTTTTACCGATTCAGCTTTTGGCAGCGGCTGCGGGCATGTTACAGCGATAGTCTCAAAGGTACAATTAGATGGAAGCATAATGCAATCGCGATGCCATGTCGAGCGACGGGTGTGACTCATAAGCATAAGCTCGTAGGCTCGTAGGTGTGAATCTAAACGCAGGTGATGCAGCGACCTTTGAGTATGATGAAGGCCGATAGGAGTTGCTTTGGTGAGAATGTTGAGAACGTTATGAGCGAATAAGCAGGTACAGTGCTAATGAGTTAGCTGCTTCTGCAGGTCATTGCAAGGTAACACCGATGTTTTAAAAGTTACATGGAGGTGAATAAAATGTCAGTTAGTATGTGTCAGATGATTTTGGTGGAAAACCAAATGGAAGTTCATATTATGTTTTTGGACATTATCCATAGTCATGTTTTTATCTAGCCCTGTTTATTTGTCAAGACACAGTGTTTCGGAGACTGGATTCTGTCTCCGTCCTCAAGTAAAACCGACAAAGTTGGGCCCAATAGTTATACTGATGTTCCATCACAAACTTGTAGATCTTATTTACATAACCACTATAGACCTGATATCCTAAGTTTAGAAAATTTGAACGACTCAAGATCCAGCTGACTAAGACTTCCAGCCATCTCACTTTTCTCATGATTATTCCCAAAGGTCTCATATTGAAAGCTCCATATCACAGTCATCGCCCTTCTAAGGTAATTTTATGAGCCAGCAAGGCCTTGCTAAGAGACAGAATCCAGTTTCACCGTTTTAAAAAAGCCGCAATAACAAACAAATCAACGATCTGGAATCTTTTTTCTGGAGTTTAGGTCTGGAGATAAGGACTAGCTCTATTGATTGGGCCCAACTGAGTAGGTTTTATCTGAGGACAGAGATATAATCCAGTCTCTGAGACGTTGTGTTTTTAAAAAATAAACAGGACGGTTTTTAGATACAGACAAGATGATGGATAATGTCCAAAAACGTAATATTTCTCCTAATGTACCATTGTCACAAACTTTTAGATCTTATTCAAACAAAAGTCCATTGGTTTATTTTCTTTTATCTCTACTTGGATATTGCTGCTGGACAGAAATTGCTGTTGCTGTATTATTTAAAGATAACTATAACTGCAGAGTCAGAAGTTCAGTCTCGGGACCACTTGAGGGCACTAACACCATGGAGCCAGGTCATTGAGAAACTGACAGTTATTCAGCCACTCCAGAAATCTGCAACATTTTATGGAATCCTAAGGTTCCTTACTTTGCACACAAGAAGCAGCTACTGGTTTCAGTCATGAGCCAGACAAATCTAGTCCATACCCCCATACTAATTACCCATGATCCATTTTAATATTATAATTCCATCTATGACTAGGTGTCCTAGTTGTCCCTTTTCTTCTGGTTTTCCCATTGACACCCAGCATACATTTGTCTTCGTCCTAAGCATGCTACATGCCCTGTCCATCACATTCCCCATGATTTGCTCACTCTGTCTATATTAGTGAGGAGTACAAGTTACAAAGCTCATTATGCACCTTTCTTCAGCCTGTTTTTGTTTCCTTCTTGGATTCCAGTATTCTCCTTAGTACTCTGTTCTCAGTCTATATTCCATTAATGTCACAGACTAAGTTTTTTCACAATCATTTAAAACTACAGGCAGAATAATAGTACTGCATGTTTTAATTTTGTTTTTAGACAGCAGGTGAGGGGGCAAAATGTTCTGAACTGAATGGTAGCAAGTATTACCCAAACATAATCAGTTTTTAATTAACTCATCGAATTTTGATTTGTTACTGCCATTCTCAAATATTTTAACTTGCCTCATTTTCAAACAAGTCTGTTAGTCATCTTTAGCCAGTAGACATTGTCTGAATTTTCTAGGTGTTTGATTTTAATTTCCTGATTCATGCATACAACTAGAGGCCTCAGTTTATGAAAATAATTTCTGCTCATTCTGTCAGTGTATTTTTTGTTTATGGATTAGAACATGGTTTCACATTCCTCTGAACATAGCAGACTTGCTGTAGGTCTTTGTTTTACCAGAAGCACCAGCTTTCTTTTTGTATGTCCACTGATCCTTTTGCCATTTCTGTGCTAACTTGAGAAGCATGTGAAATGTCTTAATACAATGATAGTTAATAACGGTACAGTTATGTTTGTGAATTAGTAACAAAATAATTTTTATATTGACTTTTTTATGATGACTTTTAAATATTATATGTGAGTGATTCATAGACTGTGGGTTTGAAGTTTTATACAGGCAACAAAATAACATGATGCTATAAAAATAACTGAGATTGAAATTTGCTTGCGTGCATGCTTGTGTGTGTGTCTGCTGCTTTGGATATTAGTATCTGAAGGTTTTGTTTGAATAAAGTCTAGTACAAGAACCACTGTTTATTAGGTTATTATTATTTATTATTATTATTATTATTATTATTATTATTATTAGAGGGGGTGGGTTTCCCCATGCACTTAGACCAGTTATTGGTCCATTGTGCATCCCCCTTTAATTTCTACTGTCACCATACCCTACCGGTACTGGTGCGTGCTATCAGCCCCGTTCAGCCAATGAGGTCAGCCGTTGGTACCATGATACTTCCCCCATCTACCATAGGCATTGGAAAATTGCCTAATAATTTTGCTCAGAGGTCTCCTAGAGACCTGAGGATCTTTTACATGCCGTAAATCTACGACACGGGACCCACGGCTTAAAGTCCCTCCCAGAGGACTTGTTCCCTGAATTTTTCCACCCTTAAAAATTCCACGACCTCCGCTGGGTTTGAACCCGCGTACCTTGAGTCATGAGGTGGGAACGTTACCCCTAGACTATGGAGGCCGCTGTTTATTAGATTAAGTTCACCTGACATTGGTTTGTGTGTAATTAGTGTTGTTTTATACTTACAGTTATTCCATTTTATTATGATTTTACAGATTGTAGGTTAAGTCCCGTCAGAGATTGTGTCTAAAAAGTTTGAACATAGAACAGTTTGATTTAAAGTAAGACTAAGACTTTCTATGCTTGCTCTTGTTTTAGCTCTTAACAGAATATTATTAGTGTTATTTGGAAGATTATGCTACCTAAATTCAAGCTTCAGGTCAGTCCAGTTTTGTCGGTGTGTTATCGTGAGGCTGAGAATGTATCCCACTAAACAGTTGCTGGCAAGTAATGGCCAGTCATGAGCCTCTGAACAGATTTTGTGTGGCAGTATTTTCTCTTTGCTGCAGTTTGGTTGCCAGAACCTTTATTCATAAGAAGCATACCACAAGCCTAGTGAACAGGTGGTTCACTGTATAACGAGGAGCTTCATAACTTGAGTGCTACTCAGCAAGTATAATTTGAATGATCATATTGAGGGCTGGACTTATGGCATGCATGGAAGATGAGAGGAATGCATTCATATTTCCAGTGGCCAAACCATAAATAAAGAGACTGCTGAAAAGAGACAGATGTAGATTGGAGGGTAATATTAAAATTGATCATAGAGAAATAGGACTGGGGGGTTATGGACTGTATTAATTCGATTCAGGATAGGGACCTGTGACAGGCTGTTGTGAATATGGTGATGAACCTTAGAGTTACATAAAGTGCTTTGAATTTCTTGATTGACTGAGTGACTGATGTCTTCATAAGAAGGGCTCAATTCCATTGAGTTAGTTTGTTAGTTATGTTGTTTAATGAAGTATTAATTTCGTTCCAGGAATCATGGCTGTGAATATGAAGACTATAGTGTATATTCTGTCATTTTTGGTGTGAATAAATAGAAATGTTGGAACGAATTGTTGCTTGGGTTCTCAACAACTACTTGGGGAATTATGTTGAAAACTTGAACACTGCTCAGCTTAGTGTAGCTCTTCTGCAAGGTATGTAAAATTACTTATTCTTTAAATCAAAATTATTGCCACCATTGCTAATTGAGGTTATTTTGTGATGACCAGTTTTAAATTCATTATAATTTCCAGTTTCATTGTGTTAAAACACATTAATTGAGCAACACAGAAGTCTGAGTTTGCTCACAGCCAATCACATCGTGTGCTGTGGGGCAGTGACTGTACTTGAAGTACTCAAGTGGTTTATTTGCAGCTTTATCTCTTGATGAGTTTTAAAACCATTCCATCATATTTTATATGGTTTGAAAGAGGACTAAACATATATGAGGGTTGGAACTTTAATAGAGGCAACACTGCTGTAGAGACGCCATACAAAGGAACCAAATAATGTCGCTTATACCAAACGTTAGTTATATACCTACCTTATCTCAGAGCAAATGGACTCTCCATTCCCACATCACGCGCATTCGCGGTGACTAGCAGAACAGAGCCTCGTGTTAGCTGGCGGTCTAATGTAGTGTTGTCACGATGTTTTTGAAACAGGAACAACGGAGTTGGATAAATATTGAATGTGCCAGAGGCTGTACAGCACGACAGTGTCATCAATGTCTTCAAAAGGCTTGTGGGGAATCTGCATTGCCTTACAGAACAGTGGCAAGGTGGGTAAAAGCCGTCAGCAAGGGACACCAAAATGTGGCAGACATGTGTCGGCCAGGTTGTGCTAGTGTCAGCGAAGAAGAAGTGTATGCTCTTTTCGCGTTACTGGAGAGTGATTGACACCATATGATTCGTGAGCTGGCCAGAGAGACAGGATTAGCGCATACGACTGTGCTTCACATTCTGAAGGAATGTCGGCATGAGAAAATATACATCACAATGGGTTCCGCATGATTTGATGGAAATGCAGAAATGGCAAACTGTGGCTGATTTGTTTGATCGATGGGGCTGGGAAGTGCTGTACCATCCACGATACTCCCCGGACTTAAGCCCTTGTGACTTTGTCTTGATTCCTGAGATGAAGGAACCACTTCGTGGCATTCGCTTCATAACTGTTCCAGAGATTCTTCAGGCAGTAGACTGCTCCACTCGAACTGTCAACATAACAGGCGCTGCTAAAGGTATCCTACGACTTCCACATCGCTGGCAATGGGTTGTACACAATGCTGGTGACTACACTGAAGGACAGTAAAACTTGGAAACATGCATCTGTTTTGTATCAGTTGTAAATAAATAGTTGCCACTGATAAAGTTTCAACCCTCATACAAATTGAATGCAAATGGTTTCTGTCAGAGTCTACTTTGATGAGTTGATCTTTCCTTGTAATTCTGAGAGGCACCATATGGCAGCACTCTGAACAGATGAGTACAGTGCTTCCAATCGTTAAATTCTTCTGATTTTGTACCATTCATGTGGTGAAGAGCAGAGAACATCAGCATTATTTTGGCAATAAAATCAATTACACATGGGAACTAACATACAGTAAACTTCTGTTATTATGCAGGTGTCTGCAGACAGAATGAATACTCCCATTATTGGCAACACATAGTATTTCGGGAAGTTTCATGAGAAATAATCTTATTTAACATGAAAGGTTTTGGTTATAACAAATTTAATATCAAGTTACAAAGAATGATACCATATATGGAATAATACACGCATTACTTAATCAGTGTTCTTAAAATAGGTTGATATTTTATTTTGGGTTGATAGCTGATGGTGTATCTTCATCACACATGTATGTCTTGATGTTTTGCAAATGTAAATGGTGGAGCCGATCACAGTCACTCTGTCTTTCGATCCAGTTCATCACTTCACTGATGCTGTCCAGTACTTTGCTAATTTAGGGGTCTCAGGCTCACACATTTCTTCATTCTCACTGTCATCTTTCAATAAATATTCTACAGCTCCATGGTTCAGGACTTCAGCAACAATTTCTTCTTCACCCTCATAAACATTGATGGGAGTTTCATCATTGTCATGAGCCTATTCTTTGTAGGTCATTTACCTGTAGTCTGTTGTGAAGGGTATGGGAAACTTCAAGCACACCTTCTGCTGTGAAATGTAAAGCTCTTCTTCATGTTCAATACTGTCACCTGTTGCAGTGATAAGTTTTGATGGGCAATGTTTAATGTTATAGAACTAATGTTTTTCCCTGCCAATCTGATATTTTAGGTCATATTCTTAAATATAACTCTTTACATTAACTGTGGCACTTGCAGCTCTGAGGTAATGTCAGTCATAGGCAATGCCCACTGATAATAGGCTCTAAAAGCAGAGATAATGCATTGGTCCAAGGGTTGGATAAGTGCAGTAGTATTTTTTGGTGAAAAGATAACTGTTGTTTTTCCAACATTTGATTTCAGAGATTCAGAAGGAGGATGTGCAGGACAGTTATCCAACATTTTCATTGGCACCCCTTCACTATGTTTCTGTACAAACCATATATATATACAATTGTCCACTTCACTTACATCACATCTGGCTTTTTACTGTGAAGACCAATTTTATCATCCACTTTATCAACAAATAATCATAGCTTATCTTCTCTCATCTAACCATGAATTATTCCTTCAGAAACACCAAACACCCAGGATAAATTTAGCTTTCAAATAACCACATTTCACTGTATGAAAAAGCAAGAGAAAGAGTTGCAATGTCACAAGTTATCAAAAGCCTTTATACATGTGTATTTAATTACTGTAGCCTGGGCATAGTATTTCTAACATGCCACACTGACCAGCACTGGAAATATTTTCCATAACTCGTGTAGAGAAGCATCGGTGTTTCCTTAGCAAGTCACCAATCATGTGCAAGGTCATATTACCCACTCAAAGGGACCAACTAGATGCAGTTGTTTATGAGAAACAAATTTGAAATGGAGTTACTTGTCAAGAAATAAATTGAATCATCTTGGGAGACATGACTAGACCCTTGGTATGTCCAAATCTGAGATATGGTGAGTCGTGTTTTGACAGAATTTTAGTGCAGTTTATAAATGTCTGAACTGTTCACTTACTGAGCACCTGCATTGTGCCTGTGTTTCCTGTGACCTCAGTATACTGTTTCCAGTGCACAGACACAGTCAGAATTTCATGTTCTTTCAATATCTTCATGTATGTTCTTGATTTTTTCTGACGTGTCCCTATCTTCATTGTCTTTGGCCTCAGGGTCAGTGTCCAAGTTGAGATATGGTAGACAGTGGAACAGCTACATTATTAAATGCTGAAGGAAATTACTGTGCAACATGCTTGACTGTGTCTGTCTTCAAGTGGAGCAAGGAGGAGAATGTAGTGATGGTACCTACATTCCACAGTGCTGACAAAAGACCAGTCATCACAAAGTGAGCTGCTCTGTGTTGTAGAACAGAATAAGTTTGTGGGAGAGATACTGACAGAGAAGACCAGCTGCTACAGACATATATTGCAGAACCAAAGAAAATAACTGTTATATGAAACTTAGGCTACAAAATGTGACTGCCAAATCATTGACAATATACATGCAGAATGTGGAGAGAAAAGTGAGTGAGAGGAGTGAGGTGGATAAGTGTATGCACTGAAAGACGGTGAAATAAATCATGGAGAGAAAAGTCTACAACACAGAGTTGATTGATGCTGGATTATCAATAAATTATTGTAAGGAACACACAGTGACAAGACACCATGCAGACAACACAGTAGTATCAGAAAAGGCAATGTATCATTGCCCAAGTTGTGAAGTGTCTTTGTGTGTGGACAAGAATTTCGAGGTGTATCATGCCAAGAAGTTTGAAGGCAATGTGAAATGCAGATTTTCATTTTCTTCTGCTCATATTAAATCTTTTCTTAAAAATATTAAAAGCATATTTGTGTTTGCATATGTAGTATAAATATTCTGTAGATATTCATTGGTGTACATATCAAAAGTATGGAATTTATTGCCATCAAAGAGCTGATTTTCTAACTACTGTTTGTGAAAACTAAATGCCTGGAAGAAAATCATACTGCATCATGCTGTGGATGTTGTTCTGATGCCACCATACTGAAGGGTTGAATTGTTTATCACAACAGTCTGGCCTTCCATTTTACTGAAGGCTTACAGAAGTGGTTACTTAGCTGCACTTATTTTCCATGCACTGTACATTTCTCTGCATGTGTTTTTAGCTATGTCCCCCGCGATCACCTTATTCTGTGATGTTGTCGCAGAACAAAAGTTCACTGTTACCTTGGTGGCATTATCTAGTTTGTATTCCTTAACATATTTTTTCAACTTGTCAGATGCATAGTATATATTAGAAAGTATTATGATTATTAAAAGAAATTGATCTTGAGATTTTTACAGATTTACACATTTTCACTTCTCCTGAGTAAGAAAAAGTGGTTTTTGGGACACCATTTGTTGTTCTAAATGTATGCACATGTGTAGGCCTGCTCCACCACTGTCTGGACAGATTTTATTTGTATTTGTTTATGGTATATATAATCCGACTTTTTAATTTGTCATTAAATGAACAGAGAATAAGTAAAATTAATATCGATCATGCCGCTAATACAGTTTAACTTATGACCTTTAATTGAGAATGCTCTGTATGGAAGTTTGAGTGGGGGTTCCTGTGTGTAAAATAATTTCTGATACACAGAAACTGACCGACAAATAAATCAGCTAATTCTAGTTATAAAATCTGAGGTTTCAGCAACCCTCATATCATTGGACATTGGCTGGAACCAGTTCAGTCCAGTTTACATCCTTACAACCTCTTTTCCCAAGGTCAATTTTAATATTATCATCCTATCTTCTGAATCTTCCAACTGGCCTGTCTTAGGGGATATCACATTAGAATTCTATACTTTAACTTAGTCTATGAGAGTCTCATTTTTGTTCCATTGTAACTCCTGGATTTGACTACCCCAAATAAGAATAAGTAAGTTACTAATATAGTTGATACATGACATTTCATGTCTTTATATAGGTGAAGTGGAATTAGAAAACCTTCCTTTAAAGAAAGATGCTTTGCGTCACATGGGACTGCCTATCCAGGTGTGCTCAGGTTATGTAGGGAAGGTGAAGCTGCAGATTCCGGTCCCTCAGATCCGCAGTGCACCATGGGTAATAATCATAGAGCAGCTTTGTCTTGTAACTGGGCCGGTGAAGCTTGCCGAGGTACGTACATCACAGTGTTGTTAGTTGATGTCCTGTTAATTTCATATACAGTATTTTCTTTACTGTTGCTTTGCAAATCCTTGACATGTTATATGATACTCTGTTATCTGTAAGTGTCCAGTTAGAGAAATGGAAGTGCTGTTGTATGTTGATTTTATGATCTGGGTAATATATTGATTTTGGAGTGATTTCTAGGTAGTGTATTTTCTCACATATTGTGCAAACTTTCTGCTTCTTAGATGTAGTGAGAAATGAAAAACTGTCTGAAATAATTGCCCATATACAGTGTGTTATATATAGATTTGTTTGTAGAATATTTATTGCTTTTTGTGTTGAGCTTTCTACCAAGTGCATATAGCTGTCAGTGCTGATGTGCCTATGAACACACACACACACACACNTGTCTAAAAATTCTCCATTTGTGGTTATGTTTAATTATGTATTTGATGGGCTAGCTCAGGTGGTGTAGCAACAGGCAAGAGGTTTGAAGGCTGGGGTTCAATTCCCAGCATGGGTGAGATATTTTCTCTTCTCCACAGCATCCAGACCTGCTCTGGGGCCCACCCAGCCTCCTGTTCAATGGTTACCAGGGCTCTTTCCCCTGGGGTAAAAGCGACCTGGTCATGAAACTGACCACTTACTTGCATCTAGTGCTGAGGTCAAAAATAATGGGGCTATACCTCCATTCCCCTACACATTTTCATGGTTTGGTGCTTAATTGATTAAGCTCAGGGCAGCTTTACCTGAATTAATTTTGTTATGTCACTGATCAGAGCAGTCAAGGGAGAGTGTTCTGCCTCTGGTGGCCAGATTGTAAAGCAGTGCACACCTTACAGAATAGGGTGATTGAAAAGATTTTACCAGACTGCTGCTGTTGTTCATGTACAGTGCGGATCTTTAACTGCAATGTTTGCAATAAACATAATGAAGAATTATTTTTTTTAGTGGGACGAAGAGGCAGAAGAGCGGGCTGCCCAGGAATACAAGCTGAGTTTATTGGATGCAATGGAAGTAAGGTGGAGGGCCGAGGTGGAGAGTGCCCAGACATCAAGTTATTATGCAACCAGCTACTCATCTTGGCTCAGTTTTGGTACCAGTCTAATTGCCAATATCATAGAAAATCTCCAGGTCAGTAGCCAGAGAAACAGGTCACTGCAAGGAATATGGATGTATTCGTTTGTAAATGAGAAGGAGACTGAAGTAAGGGAAACTACAGCTGCACAGTACCAAGGAACAGAAGATTTGTTTGAGAATCAGCAGGCTTTTTGTTACTTTCTTGGCTAATTGAGAAACATATATTGACTCAGTAAGTGGGCTCAAGTAGTAACATGATTGACTTATATTCAGGGGGTAGCTGGGAAAGTGACCATCCTGGCTGAGGTTTTTGTGGTTTTCTCCAGTCCCTCCAAGCATATATACTGTATCGTCATGTGTTGGGTGCATTCATTCATTCATCAGTAATCTGTCAGACGACAGGTCCACAGTCTCCCCCAAAACAGTTCGTCCACTTAATGCGATCTTCTGTTTTTGGAAAGAGACTATCCAGGAAAAGTGATAATGTGGTAGTTTTTCCATTTGCTTTCCACATCGCAGTACAACAGCCGTTCAAACCACTCTGGTCACGCCTGTTGCTATACGAACTTGAACCATCTCGAGCATCATTTGCTCTGTGCTTCAAGTCGCTGCTGATGACGCTGCTTCCGGCATCAGTTTTTGGTGTCTCTCTTCGTCTGATGCCTACCCTTTGACCTGTCCAGCAAGGGAGGCCCTGCCAGTAGCTACGCTACCGCTGGTATAGCTCTCAGGGTCCTTGGCATACTCAAACCCCCTCACCACGATAAGGTGGAGACACGACAAATAACTTCACACCGTATTGGATATAGCGAATTTATTCCACTCGCTCTTACAATCACACAGTTTACAATCTCAACATTACTGCCATTGGCAGTATCACAAATACTCTGGCGAAAGATAGACAGCAATTGACTGGTTGACTGCTGACTCCCTGGCTAACTCGTAACTAACTGTTGAATAGTGTTCGCTGCTCCTTATTTAGCCCCGTTACGGACAACACAGAAAACAGTTACGTAATAGGCACCGCTGTTGCGTAACGTCGTGTTTACCGACTGCCTAGGAACAGTCGTACGGACTGCCCGCCGTGTTTACAAAGGTGTTGCTGGGCAGCGCTGCCGGGAGTTGTTTATGGCTACGTAGCAACTGCGGTGTCCTGTGTTACGTCACCGAGGGGAAAGGGGTGTTACCGAGCGTTGCACACTGATGGACAGAGTGGTGGTATGTGATGTCACTCGCGAGATCACAGAGTTCATGCGACCCCCACCCCCTGCTACGCCATCCACGTCACACTGTTATTTTTTATTATTCTTGGTGTGGTGGGACTGAGTCTGTTTGGTACTGTGGCTACTACTGGTCTATTGTACCAGCCCCAGGTGATAGATAATGGTGATTGTGGAGCAATTGGTGGAATGAAGATTGGCAGGGGAAACTGAAGTAATTGGAGAAAACCTGCCCCAATGTGACTTTGTCCACCACAAATCCTACATGACCAGACCCACTGTTGAACCCTGGTGAATGCGGTGGGAAGCCAGTGACTAACCGCCTGAGCTGTGATGTGGCCTTAATTGTACTCTATGTCCCTTCACATTCATTATTCTCTCTCATCTCGTCATTCAGTGTTACTGTCAAAGCAACAGTATGTCATAAAAAGTGAGGGATTATGACTAGAAATATTTGTAACTAAGCAAATTCCTGTGCCCAGAACTTGGAAAGGGCCGCAGTGTGAGTGACTGCTGTTGTACCCTGCTGCCAGCTTAAAATGTTTTATGATATGTAATGTCAGCACTTTCAGTAAAATGAATGGAAAGGGTGGTACATTATTACATCTTATTATTGCATACTGTGGTAGCAGGTATTTGGGTGCAGCTGCAGGCTGCCTTTGTAGAGGAAGGAGAATGAGAAAGAACACTTTACTTGCATATTATTCACATTTCTGAATACATATGAAGAAAAATTTCCTAAAATGGCTAAAATGACAAAAAATACCCTTGGAAGTCCAAAAATTTACTGGAAAATTACCCCCAAACCGAAAAAATGACATAAAAACTTAAAAATGACCTATAAAAGTTACTTTTCTGTAACATTTACGGGCATCGAATAGGATACAAAGAAAAAAAAGATGTGTGATTAAAACCTGGGCCCTGGTTATGACTGTAGTTTGTTTTTTGTGAATGTTGCAATTCAGTTTTCATTATTAGAAGTGTGATTAATGAACTTGAAGCAGGAATGTAATCCACCGCAATTGTCAGCCTTAAAGTTTAAAAAAGACTGTTATCAGTTTTGGAAATATGAAGTTTTTTATCTGCTGCACGACTGCTAATGATATTTATGGTTGCTGAGTTCAAGGGGTTGATGCTTTGGAGAATACAGGAATGAAACAATGTGTGCAGTGTGTTTGTAAGTTGGATGTGGTGTTACATAGTGCCTTGCTCCATTCTCATGAGTATGCTGTAAGTGAGGGCACTTATGTTTTGGAAGATATGGAAGTTAATCAAATTGCAGTATGCTAAATTGTGTTGTCAGTGGTACACTGCCTCAAAACTAATCTTTCAACAGTCATCATTTTTGCACAGCTACTTGCCTCAAACTGCTCAGATGACCAAGAGAATAAGTCTCTGATTCGCTGCATTTATTGTTTCAGTAACCACACTCTCAGTGCAGTCTTGGTGTCTTGCTGAACATAATTAGCATATCAATAGTTCTCACTATTTGACCTTATTTGAGTTTGACTAGTGAATTCCTATATAGACTGTAGGATATGAAGCTTTTATGTACGATATCTGTGTATAGTGAAGTGTTCTCGTGCAGTAAGCAATCTGGAGTTGAGTGTTCAATGTTTTGGAAACCGAACGTTTCTCTATTGTACATACCCTGTGAATACTGAGTACACCACTCATCAGAGGAATCCCTGATGATGGAGATGGATATATTGTTGAATAAAGTGCAGTCTCTTTCCATGTATTCATTTTAAGCATACGAACATGGCTTGGAACTTATTTTCTGGTTTTCTTTACATTAGAAGTATATTACAAAGCTGAATCTGACTATTAGCATTGTGGTAAATTTTTCGATACTCTGCAGAATTTCTAAATGTATCAAATAATTTCAGTTGTTTGTGTTTGATTTATGTTTCAGTTGAAGATTAAGGATGTGCACATTCGTTATGAAGATGATGTTACAGTTCCTGGGCAGGCATTTGCTTTAGGTGTAACTGTTGAATCACTGACAGCACAGAGTTGTGATGATAATTGGATGCCTCGGTTTGTGGGCTGGGACAGTGGCAACACATCATTCAAACTGATGGAACTGAGTACCTTTGCTGTTTACTGGGACAAGTTAACTGGTGATCAGCTGTTAGGAAATCTCTCCCTGGAAGAATTGGCAGTGAGTGTGTCTCATTAAGGTCTTAACATATTCAGACAAGGTTAGACATTCGTCAGCCTGCCCATTCTATTGAACAGATAACTTGGTGTAATCATACTTTTTGTGGTACTTTGCAGTACAGCAGACCCTTACAAAACTGGTTACAGTTAATCCGGATCAGAATATGAGAAATGAAAAAGTCTGTTCACAGTTGAGTACATACTTTAAAAGACATATGACATTTAGGAGCAGGAGGGGTTAGAACAAGAGGACTGTCAGGCTGTGTTGAGGGCAGCTGGAGAGACTGAAACCACAGAAGAAAATATCTGAGTTTGGTTTGAGCTGGATGAAGGAGAAATTCCTTCCAGCTTCTGACAGAGGAAGAAATTACTGCAGTGATATTTTTTTATTTGTGTTCATGAGCACTACCTATATTATTAAATTTTTCCATTTGGGTGGGGGGAGGGCTTTAGGGCTATTTTTATAGTGTACGTCCTGTTGTCACAGCTATATGGTTATGTAACGTATCCATCAACACAAGAAAAATGGTATTAGTAAAATCATTATTACTGCCTGATGATGGTCCCATGAGAACTGAACCGTGTAGTGGCTAACAATACAATTCAATCTATGTGATATTGATTTTAACTGTAATACAATTTTTCTTGTTGTGGTGATGGATATGTTACCTAACTATATAGTTTAAGGGCTATCTTTTGCTTCATTAATCCAGATTATCACTTGATTCTCATGACCTCTCCCCCAGTTGATCCGGATTAGTGAGGGTGTACTGTATCCATATTTTAGTGAAATTTTGTTTTATTACATCCTGGGTTCAGATCTTGGATCGGAGACCAGGTATTCTGATATTCGTTTTCTCTTGATTTTCCTTAATCCCTCCAGGCAAATGGTAGGTTACTATCCCAAATTAGGCTAAGACCACTTACCCGAGCATTATCTGGTCATCCTGTTGCTTGGTGCTGTGTAGTGTGAGTTACTGACAGAAATATTAAATAACAGCACTTTAAGGGGCAGTTATTAAGCATGAAAGAAGTTGAAGCAGAAATGCCAAAGTGTGTGAATCACAGTCCTTGAATAGAAGAAAATTTACTGTGGATGTTTCTGATTTCAGATCTGAATGCATTAATTTTATGTCTTAATTATTTCATGTTGAAAGAATTTAAATGAGGCTTATCTTCATAGTTTATTGACAGTTTTCATTGTAGTTTGTTATGGTAGGTTTGTCAGTGTTTCACAGGTCTGCAGTTGTTTCCACCTTCAAGATGTATCGAGAGTGGATTAATTACCAGTGGACAAAGAGGTTCTGAAGTTCTGAATGGTGGATTTGAAAACATACATTTCCCCTCTACACTAAAAAAGAAAATTAGATATAGTCCTGGCATATCAGTTTTTAAAGCAATGTAATATTTGTACTGGGGCATGTGGGTGGTGATGCCTTATGGTCTCATGTATCAGAACCAGTGTTTTCAGTGGAACTGGGGAAAACTCAAGCTCCTGCCTTGGAGAAGTCATAGCCTACTGTTCCCACTGACCTGCCTGGGCCCCTGTGTTTTTCCCCTGTTCATTCCTATGATTGGCCTTTGTATCCTCTGTGACATGCTTAGCTTCCCCCTGCTTGTGCATAACCAATCACTTTCCCAGTTTGGATGAACTTGACAGTATGTTCCTTCAGAATATTAGTGCCCACTTGGGCCAGCATAGCAACACAGACAGTCCTGGAATAGCATGATATTATGGGTAGCATATTTTACATTTTTTCTTTTATTAAATGAAAACCAGTTTCTGCTAACCTCGTGTTCATACTGTGATTGCTATCTGATACAGATGTCTAAATGTGTTATGCAACGTTGTTAGTTAAGTTATGTTATGATTTTTGACATCAGTGGCAGTTATGGTTGCAGTCTCTGGTAAGTTTGTGTTTATAATTATGATGAAGTTCTGAGAAAGCTGATCTCTTTTTAGGTGGGAGAAGTTTTCAGGGTTCTCAGATGTCTTTATTATGTATGGTAGGATTTAGGTTTGCACTGGCCCTGCTATCCATTTGCTAGACTACTTGATGTTATAACCCATAAATGCATAATACGAAAACTAATATTCTATTATTATTTAATGAGTTAGCATATAGAGACCTATAAGGCATTTTAAAAATCCTTCAGAACCTTGTAAGCAGAGTCAGTAGAGTGGGCTAACGGCCAGTAGGGATGGAGAGTGTGAGTCAGTAAAGTGGGCTGAGAGCCTGTAGAGGGGGAGAGTGTGAGTCAGTAAAGTGGATTGACAGCCAGTACGGTTTGAGTCAGCAAAGTGGACCGACAGTCAGCAGGGTACAGGGATGTTTCTCTTCACCACTGCATGCAGAATGTGAGCAGTAAAGTGGGCTGACAGTCAGCAGGGTGCAGGGATGTTTCTCTTCACCATTGCATGCAGCATGTGAGTCAGTAAAGTGGGCTGACAGCCAGTAGGGGTTCAGGGATGTTTCCCTTTACCAAAGCTTGCTGAGTGTGAGTCAATAAAATGGGCTGACAGTCAATAGGGGTTCAGGGATGGCTCTCTTCGCCAAAGCTCTTTGAGTGTGAGACAGTGAAGTGGGCTGACAGCCGGTAGGGGTTCAGGGATGTTTCTCTTCACCAAAGCTTACTGAGTGTGAGTCAGTAAAGTGGGCTGACAGCCAGTAGGGGTTCAGGGATGTTTCTCTTCACCAAAGCTTACTGAGTGTGAGTCAGTAAAGTGGGCTGACAGCCAGTAGGGCTTCAGGGATGGCTCTCTTTGCCAAAGCTTGCTGAGTGTGAGTCAGTGAAGTGGGCTGACAGCCAGTAGGGGTTCAGGGATGTTTCTCTTCACCAAAGCTTACTGAGTGTGAGTCAGTAAAGTGGGCTAACAGCCAGTAGGGGTTCAGGGATGGCTGTCTTCACCATTGCATGCAGAATGACTCTGAAACCCATGCATCCTACTCTGGCTGAGCAGTTAAGACATATAGCAGCTTCCCACACTTTACCTGCCAATAATGTGAGTTGCCTTTATTTATCTTCCTCCACCCTTCAGCAAGTTTAGAAGTTATTCAGGCAGTACCTAAAGGATATCTGGGGCCCTCTCCTTTTAATTTTTGCTTATGAAATAAGTATTTTTTTATTGTAATTTTGATGTTGATAAACAGGATTTGTGTGATCTCTTTGCAGGTGGCCATGTATCAGCGCATGTCACTGAAGCACCAGTTTGTGCTGTCACCAGTCAGTGCCCGAGCATACATTAAGCACAACAGAAGTGAACAACCTCTTCGATCAAGGACTCAGCCTAGAATAGTTTGTGATTTGCATCTTGAAGAAGTACCACTGTCTCTCACTGATGTGAGTTGATCAGTATTCAGTGTTGTAATAGAATATCTTCAGTCCCATTCCTCACTTTTGTATATTGTTCAGGCCATTGAATGCTGTCCAAGTGTGCCCACTAGTTTGAATTATATTAGGTATGAAAAGTGGCCAGATGAATACTGTCGCGTATCGGGCGTATATCGCGACAAATAACTTCACGTCGTATTTGATGTAGCGAATTTTATTTCACATTCGCACTTACAATCACCCAAATTACAGATTTACGGTTACTGCTATCTGCAGTATCACAATTAGTACACTCCAAATGCCAGAATACAACTGACTAGTTGCTGGCTAACTCGGCGGTAGCTCCAGGACTCACTGACTGACTCAGTACAACTCGACTCGGTGACTGTTACAGNCCTGGGAGTGGATGTATGGTGCATGTACAGGTGTTTTGCAACAGATTGGAAATGTTTTGATTAATTATACATTGCTATACAGAATTAAGTTGCGTGTGAATAGCTTGACATGCTTGGTGACTAATCGTAAGACTGCTCTATTATTCTGTTCACTCAGCTAAGAAGTTAACTCTGTAAAGCTCATTAGTAACTATATATATCAGCTGCTGTAGTGTTTGAGAAGTCCCCGTTTTTTCAACATGGTGTATTTATGTTTTGTGTGATTCTCACAATGAGCAGAGAACTATTTCCCTGAGCAGCATTAACTGGTTTGTCTTTATATTGGACATGAAGTGTGCCTTTTGTGAGATGGGAATTGCAGTTCTGTTATTATTTAGTTGAATTTCAAATGTTAAGTGGTAAGGAAGGTAAAATGGACCTGCAGCATGCAGGAGGGATTCTGCATATAAATTTAGGTTGGAAACTTTTTGTTAGAAGACCATTTGGAAGTTCATGTTACAAATGGGAGTATTGCATTGCAGTTTATGTTATTCTGAAAAGTGTTGTGTGGATATGACACCATGTAGTCTGGTAGTGGTACTAGTGGTTCAGAGTATGTACTGCTTCTGCCTTCAGGGTCCAAGTGTAACTTTCTCTTTGACCCTCATAATGGAGGTATTATGTTCCTCTGAAATGCAGGTAAACTTCTACCAGGTTGTATGGCATCACATCCTAGGAGATAGTACTCCTCAGAGTCACTGCAATGACAGCTTCAGATGACACATGTTTTATTCTGGGTTTACCTTCTCTTGGTATTGTTGCATACAGAAGCAAGAAATGTTTACACAGAAATTTGGCAGAGTACCTCCATGTTAATAGGCCATAATAAAATGTAGAATAGAAGATAATGGTTTGATGGCTTATAGGCAAACAGCAGGAGTTTGAAGTTATGAATGGGATTTTGCTAGAATCCAGCAGAATTGCCAGATTGTGTGTTATGCATTGGATGTATTGTTGAATGGATGGGAACTCTTAGATCTTTCAGCAAGAGCCTGATTGGGTAGCATCCTGGCTCTTGTCTTAAGGCTCTTGAAGCCTGTATTTAGTGTGGAAGTTTGGCTTATGGGATTGCACATTGGATGTAGTCCATGAAAGACAGGTACCTCTGCAGGGAGAAGAATGATGCACATGAATCACATAATAACCAAAACACTGTCAGTATATGATATGGCTAAATTCCAAAAGCCAAAGTTACGTAGCAGCTTATTCATTCTTCATCCTCATACAGGCTGGCATTCTGAGTGATGCTGGATGCTTGCCTTTGATGGATTGGATTTGCAAAGTGACAGGTAACATTAGATGAGATACAAGATTCCCGTGGCTGTGAATAATAAAATTATGACCTTTGTGAATGCGGCCCTGTGTAGACTGATAGATATGAACCTACAGCTTCCATTTACCCTGTAAATGGATTCACTGGTTTCAACCAAAACATTTGTACCTGTCTTCCAAACTATGTACAGCATTATATCCCAGAAAATAACATTTTTGGTATGTAAAATTGTGTGATAGGAGCCAGGATAGCATAGTCAGTACAGTGACTGGCTACTGGCTGGATGACCAAGGGGTTGGAGTTCGAGTTCTGGTAGGGTCAAGAAGAATTTTCTCTTTTCCATGTCATCCAGACTGGCTCTGGGATCCACCTGACCTCCTGTCCAATGGGTGCTGGGGGCTCTTTCCCTGAGGTTAAGGCGGCAGGGGCATGTAGCTGACTACTCACCTCCAGCTAATGCTGAGGTCAAGAAAATGTTGATCTATACATCCACTCCCCCATATGCCTTCATGGCATAGTGCTTAATTAGTTAAGCATATGGACAGCATTACCTTTAACTTTTAAAATCATGGGTAGTTAGCATTACATAACACATTGTGAAGTCCATAATCTTGGCATATTTTCCCCTTTATTTCTGTGCAGTGGCAGTATGGTCAAATGGTAGGATGTGTGAAAGGTCTGCAAGTTATTGGCAAGTGCTGCCGTTATCACAAGTGGCGACCAGAAGTCACAGTACTTGAGAATGCACGCGTGTGGTGGCTTTATGCTGCCAGATGTATTATGGATGGATGGCGTCATTCATCTCCAGGAGGTTGGGAGGCAGCACTTCAGAGAGCTCGAGATAATGTAGCGTACGTTGAAATGTATTCTCGAATCTTGAGCTGTCCAGCAGCAGCTGTGCCTCCAGAAATGAAACAGTTGAAAGACACCATGGAATTGGAAAGAAGCCTGGAAGAGCTGCGGGTACTTAGAGAGGTATGTGATTAATTAAAAGGTTTATCATTAGAATATGCATTAAGAATCTATCCTATGAAAATTAAAAGAAATCAGAATGTTCCATTTCCTCTATTTAAAAAGGTTCCAACTTGCTTTTCTGTTGACATAAATTTCTTGCCACACTTTGCATCAGCTATGCAGATTTTGTATCCTGTGCATACTCCCTGTTGTTTGCTAAGTTACAGGAGATGTGTATTCTACTTGAGGGGCTATGCTACAAGCCGGAAGGTCATGGGTTCAATTCCCAAGGAGGTCATTGGATTTTTTCAATTGACCTAATCCTTCCAGCCACGCTATGGCCCTGGGGTTGACTCAGCCTCTAACAGAAATGAGTTCATTCATCAGTAATCTGTCAAGACAACAGGTCCACATTCTCTTCCAAAACAGTTTCTCCACCTAATGCGATCTAGAGCTTTCTCCTTCAAATGAAAATATCATCTTCTGTCCCCAAGGACATCCAGCATCTTACATCTTCTTCCTCGTCTTCTGGTCACT